CATACGCTATACTACCGAACGGCTCGTGCACTTGCGAGTATCACAAGTTGAGGATGCAACTAAATCCATTTTGGTGCAGCTGTATCTACGCAACAATCATCCCATGAAGAGATGGTAGGGTGATCTTATATAGTGTAAAACAACTAAACCCTACTCTTAAAAGGTCTGGAAAAACTCTCCTAAAGCAAAACAAAATCCCAAACAATTAAGGAAACAAACTAGGAAAGAATCCTTCTTTGACTTGGAAACAAGTCAGCCAACTTGCACGCACGTTTTAGGGTCGATCCACTTCCTAGTAAATTCTGGAAAAATATGAGAAACATAGCTTTATCTCTAAGCTTTCCAAGCATATATATAATACATGCCACTAGGAAAAATCGGAAAGGTCTTCAAATCTTCAATCTTCAACAGCACTGCAGTTCTGACGGGATTTCAACTTAGGCTGTCTTGACTTGCAAGTCTGGAGCATTTGGCTTGGTAGAAAATTATGAAACTTTGATACAATGATCTTCAATGTCTTAGATTTCTTCTCCAATTGGCCTTGCACTAAAATTCATTCGAAAAGTCAATTTTCAGTCAAAATCCTTCCAAGAGCGCAGAATAACTGAAAATAAGGAAAGTAAGGTAATAATGCTCTTTTCAATTAACTTTCCCTACAAAAACCAAATAAAAGAGGTATAAAAATATAGGAAATAATACACTTATCAACATTCAACAATAGGAATATACAAGAATAGACTAAACAGATATGATAACAAGAATAGACTAAACAGATATGATAACAAAATTAAACACAGTTCCTTAACAGGTCCAACCATCTAGTGCAGTGGAGCTATTATATTAGCTTGGTACCTTATTCCTGCAAGCAATTCCAAGAATCTTGCTGTACCATCCTCCACACCAGGCATGCCAGGAGCGGGCGGCAACCATCCAATATCGTCAGATGAACCTTGCAATGTTTTCTGTATTCGAGATGCCAGGTTGAAAAATGCAAAAATGAAGCTCAACCATGAGAACCTAAAAGAATGAAACAATGACTTGTAATTAAAAGCAAGAATTATTTGCATTGAGTAAAACAGAATCCAATCTGAACTAAAACTAAAAGAAACTATTCATAGACTCTATGGAATACGAGTCCATCAGTTTGCATAATTGAAATATACTTCTATTACCTACAAATTCGAAGATGAGCACATCTAACGTGCACGACAGAACTTCTCCAACAAGAAATTGCCAATCTCCAAGCAAATTGTAAACCGTGTAATGGTAGTGTCAACCTACATCAAGATCACCAATCTAACTATGAAGATGACTAGATTGAGATTTGAGAAATGCAAAACAGTTACAGTAAGTCCTACTTCTGATAAACACTTGTAATTAGAAAGGGAAGGAGGTGAAAAAGATTAAATATTACAATTAATCATTCAGTTCACTTAAAAGTAGATGGGCTCATGATGTTTTCTCATGAAAACTAGATTAATTGCCTGACCTCAGTTTTTTAATGCATACT